GTCTGCCTGAAAGAAACTCGGTCTCTCGCCAGTTCTCCCGCCTCATGCACTTTCACACTCAAGGAGTCACTTATATTCTGTGCCCATCTTCGTGTCGGTCGGCCCCTGTCCCTCCTTCCTGAGGAAGTAAAGACGGCCGGCGTAATGTTGACCGCATTACCCACCTAGTGCCGAATAGTCTGTGAAAATATGGATGCTCTTCACATATGCCCGATGCCTCTAAAAGGCGCTAAAAAGGATCTTTATTTTTTTTTCCAGCCTGTTTAAAACGGTAGGGGGCTTACAACTTTATAAAACTTAGGGCGCAAGGATATTCAACTATACGCTAGAACCCATCCAAATATGATGCGCATTTTGTTATTTTAAGCTTCTAAGCCCCACCCCGAGTGTCGTCGGAGGCCCTAATATAACGAATTGAACGGGGCTTCTGGGACTTGTACTCGGTGTACCTCATCTTTGTGTCACCGGCTGGGGGAGGCGGCAGGGGGGGGGGGGGGGGGGGGCTAGAGCAGATGCTCAGCTATAAATGGCTTTTTAAAAAAGTGCGGGTGCTCACCAAAAATGATCTGTTACATTTATTCATTATCAATTTGTGACATTGCAGGTCCTATAGGGCTCACAGACCATAAAGCCGGTTCTTCTATTCCATTCTATCCTGTGAGATCAATTCGATCTTATACATAGAATCCATTCTAGAACCTATGGCTTTTCCTATCAACGTTAGCCTGACGGTGTCTCTTAGACGTCCTCGTTTCCTCAGTCCCCCCCCCCCCCCCCCCAGTTTCCCATTTCAATGTCTGTTTGGTCATTCTCTGCTCGTTTATTCTCAGGTTTCTTCTTGCGCCTATCCACCCTAATGTTCATCACTTTCCTCGGGCAGTCAACTTTCGTTCCATGTCTTTAGTGATTCTAAAACTTTCGCCTGTGGGGAGTCTCCATGGCGAAGTCGTCAAGCCGTTTGCCTCGCGTACTGAAGGTGAAGGGATAGTTTCATGGCGGCGTCGTTCAGTTCACAGTTGCAATGTTTACCGAGATCTTTGGGATCGTCACCAGAGCTACAGTTTTCGTGTTTTGTGAGACGCTCCCAGCAGGTGGGTAGCCGTTCTGCAAAGAGAGACTGAGCCATATGAGATTTTTAAAATCCAGTGCAATAAAGTCAATTCTCTTGACTTTAACAATCTCATATTTTGAAACTGAAATATTACATTTTAAATAGACAGACATGCCTGAAAAAAAAGTACTGGCACTGCGTAAAAAGTACTTTTTTTCTTAAAGTATAGAGCCATTTTTTACGCCTTCAGGCGTATTGGGCATATAAGGCTAGGCTTATATTTTTATAGACTAATCCGCATTCGAGGGATGATGTGGTCAACATCTTGCCGGTCACCTTTTCTTCCCAGGACAATACCTGATTCTCAGTCAAGGTTGGGTCAACCTGGGTGCCAAGGTAATTAAAAAAAAAAAAAGTAAAGAAGGCCGGTTCCATTCAGTACCCGAAACCATGCCCTTCCGATCCGAAGGCGAGCGTCTAGCCGCTACACCACGGCGGCTCTACAGTTTTGCGAGAAAAAAGGGCCGGCATCTATCTTTGGAAACCCTCGTTTCCTTGATTCTTAGCCAGACTTCTCTCCCTTAGATGCGCAGACTAGGCGTCGCATGAACCGGAAGTAGATACATGCATTGAGCGCTAAGTCCAGTCCTGGTGTGCTTGTCGGTTTCTCATCGTGACGCCGGTTGTACGTTAGACATTCGTCAAAATGGTAAGTAATTTCATGCTGCTTTACAGACATAGACTGCTATTTTCACAGTGTTAACCCCATTTATGACACAAAGTTTAATTTGATTAGGAAATTATTAAGGCAGTTTGTGAGTTTAAATTCAATTGTTTTGAAATTAACACAACGCAACGACGATCCGCGACCATCATTCTCATTCATCCACCAATAAAATAAACTTTTCAGCTCCGTATCGTATCCTCGGGTCTCTAGTATTTTTTTTTAGACGTTTATGTCCCCTCAGTCCCTCTGTTTCCATTTTCAATGTCTCTTTGGTCATTCTCTGCTCGTTTCTAGTTTCTTCTTGCGTTTATCCATCCTTAGAAGTTAGTTGTCACCAGTTGTGTTTGTTATCGTTATCCGTTATGATTATCTATCCATCATTGTCACTCAAGTCACTGCACTCCAGACCAAACCTCCCCCCCCCCCCTTTTCAGTATGAACCCCAACGTCCGATGGCTAATAGTACCAATTCTATGTTGACTGACAAGTCGTCTGGTATGAGTCTCGTTTTTTGCAGTGCTGATCTTAATTCCCAAGTCTGCCATTCTCATCATTCTGGCGAGTGATGTGGATTCACTGGCCCCAAAGCAAAGCCCTCTTCAATCCTTTCCATATTTCTGACTTCACACACCGTGGACTTCTGGGCTATCCTCCAAATAACGCGCACAAAAGATGGTGACCGATGTCGACCAAAAACGCCTTAATCACGTGTCAGTTGCGCACTTCTAGCGACCTAATTTGCGGTTTTTCTGCGACTACTGAGTATACATATGCAGGTGTAGTTTTGTGTTTCGAGCCAGGCAAACACTTGCGTCACTGCCATCACGTCATGCTGCTGGTTGTCATAAAGAAGGTGCTGTTGGCTTCTTTGACTGTTCTGCCCGCTGAGCATGCTGTGAATGCCCATGCGCATCTTTTTTGGCATATAACGGATCTGTCTGTGTAGATTAGTGCATCTGCTTCACTTCGTCTGAATTTTCACTGATGAGACTGAGAGCATTGACCTCTGCATTAACAGCAACAGGATTCTCTTCTCTACATCGCATACAGAAAAATTTACAATAAACGCATGAGGCACAGGTATCCACTCTGCACCAGGGGTGATGTTGGTTAGGCTGCATATTTGCCAGATAACATCTTCTGCCCGACCTAGCTATGATTTTCCCCTCTTCAGTCTGTCGCCCTTTTCACTAAAGAGCGCTTGATGCAGTGGGTGTTTCTTATCAGCACATATTTTAAGGTTTGCCCGAGCCCTCTAGATCCAAATCCTTTGGTTCATAGTTGGAAAGTCAAGTAGATACCTCATTGCTCCACAGGATGTGTCTCTTGTACATCCCAAAATAATGTGCTTGGCTTCATTTTGCCTTTTCAAGTCATTCGTTTATCCATCCTTTAATATTAACCCGCTGCTATGAACGTCTTTTCCTGTTTTCCCGTACGCTGCTACACCCGTCTTTGGACATCATTTTTTTTTCTGACGTTCTATGGACGTACCAACCTGTTTTTTGGACTTTCCATACAGATTTCTGTGACCTCTTGTCTCACGGGCCAAAGGGCAATAAATTAAAAGCTCTGGCACGTGCATTTAGGTGTGTGTTTAAGGTGTGTTTACTGCATTCCACTTTATCCCGTTGCTTTGTTTACCGTGACAGCGTGGTCGGTGATCTGTGTATTTTGTGCCCTGATATATATTTGTGGGTTTGGATTATTCTACACTTCGATAGTACTAAATGGCAAGAACACTTTGAAGTTGATGAAGAATTGATGGAGTTTCTGTCAAAAAGTGATAGCGAAGATGACTTTGAAATGTGTACTTCTGACAGTGAACAAGAAGATTTAACTAGGCCATTAATATCGACGGCTCAAACCGGCGTGTCTAAGAAAAAGCTGTTTGCCTGTCTGACATCCTCATCATCGGAATAAGAAAGCAGCAGCAATAAAGAGCCATCGAAACGGCAATAAATTGATCAGTTGTCTTGGTCAACCAATGATTTGAAACCAGTAGTACATAATTTTGATGACTCCAGCTCTAGCTGTATTTCTGCTACTGTAAATTCAAACAGTTCAGTCACTATAAATTCTCGTCTTTCCCGATGGACAAACTTTTTTTTTTTTTTTTTTTTTTTGCTGTCTGTCTGCTAATGCTTAGAACAAAGAAACTCAAAATAGAGTACTTGAGCAAAGACTGTTTGCTAAAAACTCACGTGAAATAATGTCAAGGGACAGATTTTTACTATTGTTGAGAATGTAACATTTCTCAGACAACAGTGCTCATGCAGGCGACGATTGACTAAACAAAATAGACACATTATTGATAGTCTGCATACATCATTCATTATTATAATTCACACAGCATAATGATAATGCGTCAAGCGGTAGTCTAGTGTAGTTGGTATCACGTCTGCCTTAGAATGGGAGGGTCATGTGTTCAAACCCTAACTTTTTTTTTAATTGTAAATTTTCCTTTCAGTTCCTGCTACTTTTCACAACGGATGACTAAAGTATTATTTTTTTTTTTTTTTTTTGGGTATGTTATAACATGGTGACTACAAATAACTATGATTAAAGAAGGAATTTTGGGATACAGACTGGGAACAGTTCTTCCTATTAAATCCCCATCCCCCCTCCCCACTACCACCCATCGGGGGTGGGGGGGGGGGTGATAGCTCCGTTAGTCAAGTTTGTGGGGCACCATCATGCCTCTTACTTGTCACCACTCGGACCAACCACACAACTCCCCAGGGTAAAATATTTTAGGTTTACAAAATATAGCCCTCACCGCCGACGCATCTTTTGCATTTGGAGAATAGAAAAGTATTACGCACAGCAGAGACTTATCCCCACATTGCTTAGCACAGGGCAGACAGCTACGGCCGGGAACGTAGCAGCGAAAGGGTTAATGTATGCTGTAAATTTTCTGTTGTGGCTTTTTGGATTTGTGTGAACATTTACCAGGATAATGGTTAGACGAAATGTATTTATTTAGTTTGCACCTATCGGAGTACCAATGAATATTAAATCAATATTCTGATTTCGTGCAATGGCAACAATTTAAACAATGCGATGGACCTTTTTATTTTGGCTGTTATTGAATTTATAATATATTAATTATTTAAGTAATGTCATTGTGCCTGTGATTTCAGTGAATTTAATAAAGTGCCTAGATCAGAAAGTAATCTTTTTAGGAAAGTGTTCTGAAAATTCACAGTTGTTTAATTTCAGTCGATAAATAAAAGTTCCAAGATGGTGCAGCACATCAACTACAGGATGCGCTGTCAACTGCAAGACGGGCGTGTTTTCATAGGCACTTTCAAAGCCTTTGATAAACACATGAATCTCATTCTTGGCGACTGTGACGAGTTCAGGAGAATCAAGCCAAAGAACATCAAGTCCAATGAAAAAGAAGAGAAGAGAGTACTAGGGTTAGTCCTCTTGAGAGGCGAACATCTTGTGTCCATGACCGTCGAAGGCCCGCCAGCTGCTGAGGTGAACTTTTTATTTTATTACAGAAATAAAATGTTTGTTAAAAAATGTCAAAAACTCTTTCTACACTAAATTCTTATGGTGTGTTTGACATTAGTCCTGCTAAACATTTAGTCCTGTCTGTAAAAAAATGTCAAAAACTCTTTCTACACTAAAATCTTATGGTGTGTTTGACATTAGTCCTGTCAGTAAAAATGTCAAAAACTCTATATACATTAAATTCTTATGGTGTGTTTGACATTAGTCCTGCTAAACATTTAGTCCTGTCATAATTCAAGTGGGGTTGTTTGGTCTCACTTTATTTCTGTGATCTTTATGTGTGGATTCAGGGGCCCTTTTGTGGGGAAAGGGATAATAAACCCAAAGCCCCTAACAAGCATATAATAAGAATCAGTTAATTAAGGATGTTTCCTTCAAAGTAGGAGTGCATCTGCCTGAGAGGCAAGAAGAACGAACAAACAGACTTTATTTTCAAAGGGTTACAAATTAGGCACGCAGGCCTGTCTTACATTCGGCCCTTCCAAACTCCCATCACAGCAGTTGTATTTCATCAATAAAGCATGTTATGTTCATATGCATATTATGAATATCAAGTCAAAAACTAAAGCATGTAGAACCCATAAACAGTAAGCCAGCCAAATGGATGTGCATGCCCAACTCTTGTGGAACAAGACTATAAGTCCAGACATGGATAAACTACCAACATTTTTCCCTTCTGTTTACAGCTAGTGAACTTGAAGAAGAATTTCTTTGACCCTGTGGGTTCCACTGCAAGGATAGTGTTGTTATATTGTTATCAGGATTACAAAATTACATTTTCCTAATTCTGATCCTTTTTGTTTTTTTATATTTTTTTACAGCTTCTTTTTGTTAATGTTGCATATTTATAGATAGCCTGTGGTATTAATTGGTTTACTGTTGTCAACTGAGCAAGCTGTTTTCAGAGATTATGGAATAGGCTCATTCAGGGAACCTAATTATAGGATCACCATCTAAATATTTACCTAGATTTACTCTTTAGTCTAGCACCCCTTGCTCCTGTTAGTCATGGCATACAATGTAGATTAATGTTAAGATAATTATTTAATCTAATGTTCCAGTAAATTAAATGATAAATTATTGTTGACCCTTTGATGTCCCTGTGTGGGTTCCGGGACCCTGTTATATGGGGGGAAAAAAAGAACATACCCACTGCCTACGCAAAAGAATGTCATAAGAGTCCGATTTGTAATAGGAATGGGCACGCAGAACTTAGGTTCTGGAACGGGGCTGCAGTCCAAAAATTGGATGAACAATTAGAACTTTCCACCAGAGTTTACAGCTGGTAAATGCAAAGTAGAGACGAAGAAAACTATTTGGTGCACTATATATATCAAAGGTTTTATTGTATTATTTTTTTTTAAAATATGTCTAGGTCTACTTGTGCAAGTGAAAATAATACATAGGTATTCATACTTACTTACTTAGTCGCTCCTCTTCTACCTTGGGGTGTAGAGGTTTGCCAGAGATCACCAGACGTCTATCAGCAGTTTTCTTTCTGGCTTTATTCCATTCCAGTACTGTGTCAGTTAGGGACTGTCGGATGTTGTCTCCCCAGCGCACCCTCAATTGTCCTGGAGGTCTGGTTCCCTGGTTCTTAGCCTGCCATGGTGGCAGATTTTCTCCCATATATGTCCAAACTAAGAAACCCTTGATTTATGTCCTGGAAGAGTCTCTCAGCACTACTTATCATATAGCCAGCTCAGTCTTAATGCCTCGGTCTAATACAACTCCAAGGTATTTGAACTGGCTGACCTGCTTCAATGCATACTGTCCCATCATGGTCTTAGTTTTGGGGATACTGATGGTCATCCCTCTCTTCTCAAGCTTCATTTTCCAGACAAGTAAGTTGGACTGATTTAGCTATCAGGGCCACATCATCTGCAAATGCCAGCTCTGATATACAGATTGGTCTCACCTTCCAGTACCCTACAGAGTACTTCTTTGTCTTCTCCTTACAGGACTTTTGGTATGCTATTCTTGCATAAATTTTGCAGCTTTTGTAGAAATTGTTGCACTGATCAGGGGTGCTGGGATGTCTTTCCCTGCCAAGCAGTCCCAGAGCTTCTTCAAGGGTACCTTGTCAAACGCCTTTTCTAGATCATAGGTATTCATACTGTACAATTAAGGACTCACTGAGCATGCTATTTAAATCTTTTGGGAAATAACCATGCAGACAGACTGGCTGGTTATGCATCACTTGGTGGTGAATTGATGCATAGCAAGCTGCATGTGAACAATGCCAAAGCACTACTAAATTATTGGTTTGAAGGGATTGATGCAACAGGGAGAATCTGATGGATCTGGCTGATACTCAGCATTCAGAAGAAAGGCAAGGCAAACAGTCAGACTGCTACCGGTACCATCAGATTAGAACTATGTGCTGGCTGCTTCAGATGGAGACGGATCACTAATGTCTCAAGTCCTGTGATGTCTGTGCTCAACTCAAAGGGATTTTTTTTTGGATCATGCAATATTTGTTAGAAGTCTATCAGCAGTTTTCTTTCTGGCTTTGTTTCATTCTAGTACTCTGTCAAGGACTGTCGGGTTTTGTCTTCCGAGCGGACTCTAGGTCGTCCTGCATGTCTGGTTCCTTCGTTCTTAGCCTCCCATACCTGTCATAGTGACAGATTTTCTCCCATTCTACATACATGCCCAGACCATCCTAACTGTGACTGATCCACTTGAGTTTGTAAGGCTTGGGTTTCAAGATCTTGACATATTATCTAAATGTGGACTTTGTCCCTTCTTGTCATTGGACCACCTTTCTCAGATATTTAATTTCTGAGCATTAAGTTGACTTTTATGCGGGAATGAGACAAATACCTGAGGAAATTATTGTGAAAATGTAATCAGAATATATGGTGATCTGCTAAATTTGCATCAGATAATGCCTTCATGTTATTTGTTTCCATCGTTTTCAGGAAGGTAGTGCTCGAGTACCATTGTCAGGTGCCAGCCAGGGAACAGGTGTAGGCAGGGCAGCAGGACGTGGCGTGGGTGCTGCAACTGTAGGAGCAGCTCCTGGCTTGCTGGGACCCACACGTGGAGTTGGTGCTCCATCTCCACAGATGATGACCCCACAGCCACCACGAGTTGGTGTTCCACCTATAGGTAGGTTTCCCTATTTATCTCATACCTCATAGTTTTTGTCTAAATTTTTTTGCTTGTGCTTTTTTTTTTTTTTTGGGATCCCACTTGGTTCCAGGGCTTTAAAAAAAAAAAAACTCTGCCCCTAAAAAGAAGGTCTAAAAGGCGACTAATTTGAAGAAATTGAATGTTAGGCTGAAAACCACAAATTTCAACCATCCTTTTACATGTGAAGGCGGGAGCATTACTTCCCCTTTTCTTTCAGTTGTATTTGGAGTCCATTTCTAACTGTATTATTTCATCTACCATCTACATGGAATTCGACAAATGAAATATATTTATGTCCACATTATTTAAATTCAACTTGGAAACCATTGTTTGAATATCTGTTACCACCTGCTACCAACAGTGTAGTGGCTTGTTAGATGATTAACTCTTTCAGGACCACATTTCTTCTGGGGTTTGGACAGAAATCATTTTAAGCAGAATATTTTTACTGCTAAACTTTCCTGAAGAGAAGTATTGGCTGTATCAGGACAGAATACATCAAATTAAACATAAATGTGTGCAGAATAAATCTAAACTATTTAAGTGTCAGTATTACAGCAAAATATTATTTGATTCACACAGCATTCAAGGATGTTGACACATCTGAAGATTATTTACATTAAAAAAATTTGGTGCTCACCTTACTTTTTTTTTATTTGGTTAACAGTACTGCTATCCAATTTTAAAAATTCGCGTCTTTTCTGTTCAGTTATGTATCAGCTAGTCTTTATTTGAAACAATTAATTTCAATACTTTGGATGTTATGATCTTTTTGTTTGACAAGTCAGATTTCACAACAACCGAAAATTGAGGAAAAACAGCTGATCAAATCAGAGGGTCCGATTGAAATATTTTATTCAATTTTTAAATCTGAAACTAAATTATCGCCAACAGGTTTGTCACTTAGATGTCGGTCATAATATCAAGACTGTTGTCACCATCTGGCTGATCGAATCAGAGGATCTGACTGAAATATTGTATTCAATTTTTAAATCTGAAACTAAATTATCGCCAATAGGTTTGTCACTTAGATGTCTGTCATAATATCAAGATTGTTGTCACCATCTGGCAGAGATTCATCAACAGCAGCAGTATGGGGAGTCTAGACCTTTCCCTTTATAATGCAGTATAAAAAAAATCATGTAAAAATTGTATCACATCTTAATAAATTTTTTTAAAAATCATAAATTGATGCAAAAGCCACGCGGAACATCACAAACCAAAGGACTTCTTTTTGCTAATCCTAGTTTTTCAAAACATTTTTATAACAGTTTGTTTTTCCCTGTGAACAGAACAACAATAAAGTGTCTCTATGGTTCACCTGTATACTGGTGAATAGTCAGATCGGGGTAAAATCTAAAGCCAGTGATACAGTTTTTACATGACTTTTCTATAGCAATTTTCGAAGAGAGAAAAACTAAAATGCAAAATTGCAGTACAGATTGCAGGTTACAGTTGTAAGTCGTGTGACGCGTGAACTTTCAGCGATTAGATGACAGGTGTATAGCAAGAGGCCATTTTGTATTTGAGTGGAGTTTTTCACACCTTTTAAATCCGTTACTATATGTTGATGTTACTACTTCGTAGTGCCGGGTTCGATCCCAGCTGCAGGCCATGCACCTTGTTTTGGTTTCGAACCTGGTATCGGGGGCCGACTGCCCAGAAAGCAATGGCAAACTACTGGACGTAAATTTGCCTAGAGAAACCCACACAACAGCCAGGGGCTGCTGGGGTTGGTTCTGCAACGTCCTGTAAAGGATACACAACTAGCCATATGATAATGTAACTATGCCTGGCAACAAATTGTGCAATGTTTTCTATGTGTCCGCAATTATTGAAATCACTACATTCACTCAAAAAACATTGTTTCAACAGGCACTCCAGCAATGAGGCCACAGGGTATCCCACCAATGCCACCAGGGGGTGTCATGCGAGGTTAGAGTCTCTGTGTTTACTGTTCACTGGGGTTTGCTGTGATTTTTGTGATACTCCAGATTGCGTTTATATTTGGGCTTATTGTTTCATTATATCAAAATACACACACTAATTTGTGTGTGTGGATTTGACATGATAAGAGGTTGCGCTTTTCTTTTTAGTGTCATGTTTCACAATAACGAAGATGGGGAGGGGTTACTAAAGATTGTCCCTTTAATTCGAATTTGTTGTCGTGTCATGAGACCAAAGATTGCACTTTACATTTATGTTTGACATTTTTTTATATAGACTATAGTCCACTTTGAACAGATACTTTATGGTTTCTAAACTTTGCCACTAACTTTTTCTGTGACTAATTTAATTTTAATACTCTGTTAAGAGAAGTTTATTGAACTGTTTAGTTACACCAAAAACGCATGAAGTGATGACTAGAACAAGAGTATGCAAATAAAATTATCTGTGGCCGAAAGAAGGAAGATGATTAAGTATTTTCATAATTTCTTTTTCATTCACCCTTAAAAGTGCAGGTGCCATGTCCTGTTATGCTTGAAAACTATACTGCAATACCTAGGAACTCACACAGGGAATTTAGGTTATTTGAGTCTTGTGGTGATATCATAGATTTGTGAAAAATTATTTCGAAGCTGCGGAGATGGCGTTTCTAAGATGGATTATGAGAGAACCCTAGACAGATCAAAAGAGTAATGAGGATATCTTGGAATGAACTGACTCACAAAGAGAACTGATTGCCCACTTCAGAGAAAGACAATCTACATTCTTTAGTGATGAGGAGAAAACTGGAGTATATCGTGACAGTAGGAAAGTTGGAGAGGAAAGAGGCAGAGGAAGACAGAGAGAAAAGATGCTGGACAGTTTGACATCATGGCATGGATTATCATCTGTGTCAGAGTTTTGAATAGATATGACTGTCAACGTCACACTGCATAGACTGTAAAAAAAAAAAAGAGAAGTGATAGTATTGTATTCCTGATTTGTATAGACATACATTTTTATGGGGCTTTGCTGTACATCTATAAGTATGAAATTATGCTATTAATTCCCTGAAAGTAAGATCCTACTTAATATAGTTGTCCCCATGTGGGATGCAATTTCTCGTTATTTGAATATAGCCCTGAATAAAGCCGGGCCATAAATATGGCCTAATGAATGAAAGGGGTTTCTAGGACCTCTTTGCGGGTAATCCTTATTCGCATGTTGTCACTTTGTGTCAACGGATGTTTATCGCTTGTGTGATGTCCTAGTGGGGTACACCGAAAGATAATGAGATCAGCAACCTCTCCCACACACACACACACACACATTGGTGTGTACAAAGGGTATTGCATCAGGACACGTTTGTGTATTATTGATACAAAGCCTAGACATTTGTTGGTATGGCCTATCCTCAGGTGTATCATGATCAAGCCATTCAAATCAACAGTAATTATCATTGGGCTCATCCTGTGCTTTTCATACCCAATGGTGGTCACATTTTCTGCCGGACATAATCTGTGTAATTGATTAGTATCCGATGAGTTAGTTTCTTAGACAAAAGAGAAATGCAGATCATGACGAGTACTGTATTTTTTTTACCTGTTGGTCGCTGGCAAAAATGATGATAGCCTTAGTGTCAATAGAAGCATTAACAGTATAGTTTTGCAGGTGTTTAACAAGAAAATAGCATTTAAAATGAGATCATGCTGTAAAAGATTTTTTTTTTGAGGGGATGTTGCATTTTTATGTCCATAACTATTTACCTGACACCCTGAGTATCATGGGATTGTTTCTGGGTTGTTTGGTTCAAGGGCATTTTTACTGTCTGTCCTGGGAATTACCACTGGAGCTACAGCATTTTTGCTTTGTAAAAAGCTGTTGTTAACAGGTTTATTAACCGTTCTGCAGATAAAAGTCTTGAGTCATCGTATAAAGAAGTCAATCCTACTGACCCTAAAATTTTTATGGGGTAATTTTTCTTTAGTACAGAGGCCAGCACAATTGTTTGCCCATTGGTTATGGGCTTGAACTTCCACCGAGGTAGTTTTTAAAAATTTGTCAGGTTTCCAGTTCGACACAGGCTAAGTGAATACTAGGAAATTATATAGGAAGTAAAGGTGGCTAGTGTAATATAGACCAGACCATATTAGCCTTTATATGATGATTGGTTCATAACAAATGTAGGCTGTCGACATATACCTGACATAATCCATTAACTTCGAATGGCCAGTTGCTGGAAAACTGAGGGTGCCTTATGCTATTAATTACATCTGTTAAGACTGCTCTCTTCATTAACAGTTTGTTGCTTTTCTATTGTTGACTGTTTGTGTTGGCACTTTTGACGGCTGCCTTGAACGTTTACATGTGCATATGTGCTGCTGCATTTGCTCAGACTGCAGTCTGTGTCAGTTTCTTTAACAAGGGACAGTGATGGACATCCTGTGTGGTTTCATTTGGCACAAGAACAGGAATTATGGGGTGACCCATTTGCTGTGAAAACTGGAACGGCAATTACATAATTCAATTTTAGCCAGTTATAGGGAGGAGTGTGCTGTGCAGCACAAGTTGGGTCTGATATGCCTTATGCTGTTTAAACAGGTTCTTTACCTTTTCACGTGTTTATCAAACTGAAATGATAATCTTCTTCTTCATGTTCACCGGCTGTAAACTCCAGCAGAAAGTTGTGGTTGTTCATCCGCCTCTGGACTTTACAGACTTGTTCCTGATCTAACTTATTTGCAGACTGTGGCTTCCTTGCCTCTCAGGCAAATGCACTTTGACTTTGAAGAAAACCCCCAACTAGTCGACTCCCACAACATGCTTATTAGAGAGGCAGTGGGTCTGTTCTTGTTTTCCTCACAGTGGGGCTCTGGAATCAACACTGGGATTATTTGGTTATAAAGAAGAACATGTGTGAACAGAAAAAGGTTATGAGATAAACTAAAACATAGCACACTCTCGTGCATGTAAATAGTAGACGGAAGGATGTCACCTGGTCTCGTGCATGTAAATAGTGGACGGAAGGATGTCACCTGATCTCGTGCATGTAAATAGTAGACGGAAGGATGTCACCTGATCTCGTGCATGTAAATAGTGGACGGAAGGATGTCACCTGATCTCGTGCATGTAAATAGTAGACGGAAGGATGACACCTGATCTCGTGCATGTAAATAGTAGACGGAAGGATGACCCTTGATCTCGTGCATGTAAATAGTGGACGGAAGGATGTAACCTGATCTCTTGCATGTAAATAGTGGACGGAAGGATGTAACATGACCTTGTAAAAGTAGACTGAAGGATAATATCACATGACCTCATGCATGTAAAAAGTGGACGGAAGGATGTCACATGACCTCATGCATGTGAAGTAACAGGAAATGACCCTTTTCATGCATGTGGCACGTCAGATATATGGTGCTAGATCCTTATGTTTTATTAATCAGTCAGCAGCCTGTTGTGGGATGTTGTCAGTATCATGTCGGCTGTCTTTATTTTTCCTGGTACACTCATTTTAAGGTTGGTCAGCCTGAGAACCAAAGTCCATTGTTTGTTTTAAAATCCATCCCTGGTGAATATAATTGGACCTCAGTATTTAACCCTACCAGGCCACTGGCCCAATTTTCCGGGAATTTCTTAACCTGACGCTATACCACTGTCCCTAATCTTCGGCTATTTGCGTAGTACGGGAAAAAGATGCGTCACAGACTAAAACAAACTAGGCAATCGTAATCAGATCTCGTTGATAGTCTTCCTAGATGTCCACCTGCATGTGTTTGGATAAAATTGGTTGTTTTACATGAAAAAAATTATGAAAATTCACAATAAAATGAGTGGCTGATGAACCAAGCACTGTGGCAGGAAAGTAAAGTAGGTCTAGACTTTTCACAGTCCAACAGGTGATCGATACTTTGGTTGATTCAGACTCTGCGGAGTCATAATTTCATGAAGAATACGTTCACAGTTGAAGTGACACCTTCAGCTCGAATAATGAGGAGAATCTTGAAAATTTTAAATCTAGAAATAGATTGATAGTAAGAGAAGGGCATGTCCCTCAAACAGCAACATCTGATGCTCACTTTGTGAAACAATCCTGAGTGGATTGGCACACATAGGTAGAATATTGGCGCTAGATAAAAGATAAGCCTATTTTCTACAATGTTTCATCTTATTCTAGCCACTTGTTTGCATGCAACTAATATTTTTGTATGTCATGTTTTTTCTTCTTCGCATTAATGCCCAGGAGCTCAGGTATAGGGGACATTAGGTTCAGGGCCTCAGGTCTGGTAGGGTTAAGAACAGAAGCTTGAAGCACTTTCTACAAGCTATAAGACGTATACAGCAGACACAGAATTTAAAAAAAAAACCTCTAGGGAGAGAGCCTCATGGCTAGTACTGTCATAACAGATTATTCAGGCTAGGAACCACCCCTTAACCCCGAACCCTGGTTTCTTGCATGTTAGTCATGTGTTCTTAAACATTAGGCCAACCACACCTCGACTACGAATATATTTATTTCCTAATTGTAACAAACTCTGAATCTCACCTAATTAAAAGCCTCGGCGCAGATTTTGTTTATTTGTGAGTGTTCTGATGTTGCCAGTGGGCTCCCCTGAAGTGATGTGACTTAATTTCTGTTAATGAGTTAGAAAGTTAGGATGCTGAAGTCTCTAGTGCTCCTTCCTGTTACAAATAGTGTGCAGTATTTTATTTTTATCCTTGTGTGTGTCCAGGAGAAGGGGCCGAACTCTTGTCTCATTAGGGAACCAGTGTTGAACAGATTACCTCCCCGTGATATGGTCTCCGCATGCTTTGTAAGACATTCATTCGAGCTGTCAGCTGGCTTCTGAGCCATATAAGATGATACCTGGTGAAGTGAAATCGATCTTCTTGACTTTGATGACTTTAAAACTTTATGCACTTTAGGGCTTTTAGCGTCCCCTGCCCTTGTTTGTCGCCGCTTATGTTTGTGTGGGAGCTTCCAATTGCCAGTAAAAGTGACTAATATG